CCGAGTTCCCTCGCCTCCACAAAATCGTGGGATAACTTGGCGAACAAATCACCCTGTACAGTTTCTAAACAGCTTCTCGTGGCTCTTATATTAAAACAGCCAGAGAGAGACCTGAAAGCAAGTCACCTGTCCACTTACAGAAAAGAAAAATAATGCATAGGGGATATGATGCAAGAGGGATTTTATAATAATCCTTGCATTTAAAAGCAATTAAGAACAACAACTTACATTTGTAATTTGTTGTTGTTGTTGTTAATTGCTCATAAAAATTATTATGAGCTAACTTTCTTCAGTTGAACGTCAACAAGACGGAGGCTCTCCTGATTGGCTCCACACCTCAGGCGCTGACAGCATGAACATCCATGAATGCACACTCCACCTTACTAAGCCAGCCCAGAACCTTGACATCTTGTTTGACCCTCAACTATCCTTTCTATCCCACATCTGTGCCATGACCCGCTCTGCCTACCTCCACCTCCGCAACATTGCTCAGCTCCTCCACTGTCTCACACTGCAGGCCGCCGAAACCCTCATACACACTCTCACTACATCGAGATTTGACTATGCAAACTTCTTGCTTGTCGGCCTCCCCAACTCCTCCCTCCATAGGCTGCAGATCATCCACAACTCTGCAGCCCGGCTCCACCCCATCCTCGCCCGACTCCATTGGCTTTCCATCACACAGAGGATACAGTTCAAGATCCTGGCCCTCACTTTCAAAGCCCTCCATGGCCTTGCCCCTCCCTACCTCTGCGACCAGGAGACCCCCTATCCCCCTACCATCCTGCCCGCTCCCTCCGCTCAGTGGACTCCGGTCTGCTTCATGTCCCCTGCTTCACCCGCCCCACCAATGGCGGGCGGGACTTTTGGCACTCTGCCCCTATCCTCTGGAACTCCATCCCGCAGTCGCTCCACCTCGCCCCCTCCCTTGCCTCCTTCAAGGCCCATCTCAAGACCCTCCTCTTCGACCGTGCATTCGATAACCCTGCTTCCCCCCTGCCCTCCACCCTCCCCGACCCCAAGCTCGGATCCGAAACAGTGACTGTCCAGCGCCTTGGGATGTCCTCCCGACGTGAAAGGCGTGAGACAAATATCATTTTGTTGTTGTTGTATATAGCGCCTTTCACATCAGGAGGACATCCCAAGGCACTTGACGTTAGGGTAAAAATAATCAATCGTAAAGCATTAACTCAAACAGCTAATCACATCATTTATTGTTTTATGGGACGTCCTCTTGACGTGAAAGGCGCTTTATAAATGGAATCTTGTTGTTGTTGTTGTTGTATCCATTTGAAATCCATTCCTCTACAAATGTTTCAAACCCTTGGACTTTTAAAAGAAAGCTTCAAACAAATGACAGCTGCTGCAAACAAAACAAAATATTTTACACAATTTCACGACATCTATTCAGTCCCTATGAGGCAATGTTGATGTTTGGAAGTCCATTCCACAGTCCCTTCGCCTCACCCCCTCACTTGCCTCCTTCAAGGCCCATCTCAAGACCTTCCCCTTCGGTCACCACCTTCGGTCACCCTCCCTGCCCTCCACCCTTCCTGATTGTTCAGCGACTTAGGATATTCTCCCAACGTGAAAGGCACTATATAAATGTAATTTTATGTTGTTGAAATACTATTGTGTGCAGGACCTAATTGCACAGTAATTTAGGTAATAGCAGTGCAAGTAATTAAGTTTAGTTTGACAGGGCACTAAATCACTAGCTTGGACCAACATGCAAACCAGCTTTACTTCTATCTTCTTGCTGAAAATTACAAAATAGAGCTTGAATATACAAATCTGCATTGAATTTCAGATTTTTGTTGCCATATGATAGAGATTAGTGAACACATACTTTACTCAACAAATCACAAATGGTTCGGTTAAAGAAGGCCCTTGTAGAATATCTATCTTATTCTCCTCACATCACAAAGCTAAACTGTGTATTTTTTTAAAAATAATTCTGGTTCATGGCCTCAACCAGCCTCCTTGGTAACCAGTTGTTAATTATTTTCTAGGTAAAGAAATGCTTCCTGGTATCAGTACTGAAATTGCCCTTTGCAACCCTAAGCCTGTGTCCTTATTACACTATCGCAGTGCATCAGAAATTATTGTTCTGAGTTTAAGCAGAGGGAAGACTGCCAGCCTGTTCACAACGGTAAACTGTGCAGTTTTAGCAAGTTAATACTCCCAACAGTACACCAAAACACATTCAGGGGTTCCTCCATTCCCTGGCTCTCATTAACAACTTGCGGGGTAGCCTAATGGAGAGTTTAACAGTAATGGAGCTTGATGCCGAGCCAGGGAGAGGGGAGCAAGCACGGTCAAAGAGTGAGCTCTTCAGTTGCAATCCGAAGTTGGGCAAGGAGGAGGGATTGAGGCAGAGAGTTCTTTAGAGAACTCTTTAGAGTGTTCGATCTGAAGGCGTAGCGGAGCTGCACCTAATACATTCTGGTATTAGTTAAGCAAAGTGGATTCCTCCAGGGAGAGTGCAGGCTTCCATTCCAGACACAGGGACATTTCCACATGTTGGTGGCATACATATGTGGAAGTCTACAGCTAATTAAGATTCTCTGAAGCATGGGAAGAATGGGTGTCTGTGTGTCAGCCACTCAGCAAAATACAATCAATCTGCACCCCCTCTCTCTTCCTCCGACCCCCAACCAAAATGGAAGGAGAATCACTAGCCTCAACTGGAAAATAATCCCTGAAGCCACAAGCCCATGCATACCTGCATACACCATTACTATAGCTCGACGGCTTGCCATATGACTAGTGTATTCTCACTTTTTGGATAAAACACTGTAACTTTAAGAACTATTTTAATGACTAAATCAAATGGGATTTGTAAAATTAGTCTATGAATAGGATTGAACTTTAAATGAATTTGAGATATCCACAGAATTTCAACACGGGTTTAAAAAATTAAATTAATGAGCACAAAGTTCTGCTTGAAACTCAACTGATGAGTTGAGAGTAAATCATTTGCATTTGTGGAAAGCTAGCTCATTGACAATAATAGAGAACTGTAAATGCTGAAATTCTGCAGGACAACTACATTATAAGTCGCTTCACTAGAATGCGAGTTCGCTTAAAATATGATTGTCCTGAAAACCCGCATGCATGCAGGAAGCAGAGTCAGCCACAACTGCTTCTCGCTCTAGAAACTCTCACGAGAACAACTGTAGCCGACTGCAGGCTTTGTGTGTACGAAGAGCAGACACCAGAATCCAGCATTGGAAACCAGAAGTGATGTCAGAGCAACCAGACAACCCAGAAGCAGGACCAGTGACCATTTCTCTCTTGCTACTCCTGTTATAACGCAGGGTCTAACTTCATATATCCAAATGGATGGTTTTGGAATTGTTTCTCAAATGAGTAACAATTTAAGAAAATCTGACCTACTGTTTTTATCATTAATAATAATAATCATCATCCTTGCATTTGATATAGTGTCTTACAATTGCAATTAAATTAATTTAATCCCTTGGCCTCGCTACCTCCCTTGCTTCCTTCAAGGCCCGTCTCAAGACCGTTCTCTTCGACCGTGCCTTCGATCACCCTCCTACCCCTCCCGTCCTTGCCCTCCACCCCCCGGGCTCCTCCCCCCGGCTCCTCCCCCCCCGGGCTCCTCCCCCCCCCCGGGCTCCTCCCCCCCGGGCTCCTCCCCCCCCCGGGCCCCCCCCCCCCCCCCCCGGGCTCCCCCCCCCGGGCTCCTCCCCCCCCGGCTCCTCCCCCCCGGGCTCCTCCCCCCCCGGGCTCCTCCCCCC